ATAGGCAGGTGACTCAATTGCAACAAGGGTATTGTGAGTTCAGGTAGGGAAGAATATTAGAGGTTGCGAGTTCAGTATGAGAAAATGTAGGTAATAAGTAAGTATGCAGCAAGTATGCAGCATTACCCAAATAAGTCACACAGAAAATAGGTAATTTTAAAGAACAAAGATTGTATAAAATATATGTTGCATTTGGAGCGCACTTTTTTTAACTAAATTTTTTTCAATTCAAAATTTAAGTCGTTGATTCAATGCTAGCCCCGAACTTAACATTAATATAATAGAAATGATAAACGAGAATTCATTTCTAATTCCAATTAAATCAATGGGAGACAACAATGATAATGAACTAAGGCATATTAGAACGAACTAAGGCATAGTTTGGTACATAGGAATGGAATAGAATGGATTAAACATTCCATTCTAACCATTCCTTTATTTTGTATGACATTTAGAATGGGAATGATCATTCTTTTAGAATGAAAATTTATTCCAATGAATAAAAATCAATTCCACTTCTAAACGAATGGAATGAAAAGAAATGAAATTCTTGGACATCACTACCACCACCACAATCCTCCACCACAACCACCACCACCACCACCACCGTTGCCGCCCCCTTCTGCCACCACCTTCCTCCACCGCCGCCCGACACCAAATTCCTCTACCGCCACCGTCATCGCCGCCACTACTGCCGCCGCCTTCTACCACCATCACCCCCATTCGCCACGACCTTCCGCCACCCCACCGTCGCTGACTTCAGCCACCACTACCACCATCGCCTTCCACCACCACCACTAATAATTGCATGTGATTATCAATTTATTCCATCGTCATTTTTACAACCAAACAAAAGAATGAGAATGATAGCTTCATTCCATTCTCAGCTTCATTCCATTCAATTTCATTCATGCTTATTAAACTAGGCATTAGAAAATTTCTAACACCCATTCTAAAAAATATATTTTAAATAATGCAGGTTTGATGCTAATAAATCTTATTCAAGAGTGGTTACAATTTCTTATTTATCAAAAAAATTTAGTTTAGATTAAATATACCATATATATCTATATTCATGTACTGTATAACTCTGTACTCTTCTAAACAACCTGAAGTACAACTGTCAATAGCAAACCGAAAAGATGACTAAGTGTATTGGTATTTTATTTAATGAAAGAAAAAAATTTATTTTGTTTTCTCCAATATCTCAAATTGCTTTTTGCAGATTGATCAACCATTTGCTCAAAGAATTGACTTTAACAAAGTACTCCTTCAAGGATCTACACTAAACTGTTCAAAATTTTATAACAAAAAGTCGTGCAGTGAAGCGTCTACATTCACTTCATTGGTGTGCACGATTTGATATTTTCAAGTGTTCCTATATTATCTATGGCAAGCTGTATTCATACCACCAATTAACAATGACTCTGATTTAATTGTTTGGAGACAAGGTGTAATGGTAGTAGAGTTGCTGCATCAGTATTTTTGTATTTAAAAGCTATGTAAATGTGCTATTTATATAAAATAAGATTGTGGTTGCATGATTTATTCTTTGATGGCATAATGTCACATCAAGTATTTAGCTTACAATAAGGTTGCTTTAAAAATTTATTTTAAAATTATATAATTGCTATAAATTAAATATTAAAGCAATATAAGAAAGAATATGACTGTTATTGAAGTCAAACGGAAGCCAACTAACCCTTTACTATTTTTTCCTTTAAATGGTGCTTTGATATGAGGCTTTGTAGTTTTTTTTTTTTTCTTTTTCTTTTTTTTTTTTTGTATACATATTGGAACATGCAATAATGATACTCATGTATTATATTATCACACATATATAGTTTGACTAATTTTATTAGAACTAATTTTACATAGTATGAAATTATGAATGGCTTTATTTGAAATATTAAGTATATATATAATATAATTTCAATCTTAATGCATGGACTTTAACATTTCGTTTTATGAAGTTAAATAGATTATTGAAAATTTTGAACATTTGAAACAAGCCAATTCAAAAAACAAAACTTGTGTAACCTGTATGATATGATGTGTTTTGAGGTTTAATGAATTGCTCGAGTTTTAGATCTGACACTCGAGTCCATTTCAAAAAAATTAGTGTCTAATTAATTAAACTAATGGTAGTTATTTTAAGGGTTTTGAATTGCAATAGTTGAATTATGGGATTTAATTATTTTGATAGTTATGGTTAAATTGCTATAGTATACTATGGCTTCCTTTGATGTGTTTTGGGACTTGTGCAAAACACATGCAATCAAATACTCAAATGAAAAATATAATTTTTTAATCCAATGAACGTAATTGGTAAAATCTATAATTTGGGAAAAAACTACACACCAATATCTTTCAATCAATAATGTCTAAAATTTAGATTACCAAATGAGAAAAGAAAGTCACCGCAAGTTCAAAACAAACTCAATGGTGCAAACTCTTCTAGCAACTCCAGTTATTTATTTTTTCTTTTTTCTCTGAACTTTCGAAAAGAAAACTCCAGTTTTTTTTTTTAGTTTGTTTTTTCTCCGGTGAATCAAACTCTTCGGCAGTTGAATCAATTTAATCAATAAATAAAGAAAATTAGGTGAATTATTTTTGTATAATTTTATTCAAAGAACCATTTTAATGCTCATTGATATTGTGGAAAATTCGTAATTATGATTTGCATTGTACTAGTCATTGTAACATTAGTGGGTTGAAACAAATATTTATGTGTTTATTCATAAGCATTTGTAAATATCTAACACCGCTTAGGAGGAAAGAGAGATTTTTAGTTTTGAGAGAGGACACAAGCAATAATTGATATAAAATTGTGTGAGTAAAATTGGCAATAGATGAAATGGAATAATATTGAAATTAATTACTTATGACCATGAAATATTGATGATAAAAGGAGGTTACAATTTAAGTACAAATTATATGATTGGATTGTAGGAGTGATCTTGCATGACTATTGATTATAAATTTAGGTGCATGTTATAAATATTGTATTTATAACGGTGGTAGTTATGAAAAGAGCAATGTTAAATTAAATTTTGGAGATATTGGAGTAAACTAAGATAAAAATTCACCCATTTTTGTTCTGCTTTTGCATCAAAAGGAACTGCGAATTCATATCTAGTCTTTCTGCCACAATTAATTCCTATCAAAGTAACGCTTGTTACAATATAACTGAATTTAGAAATGATGAATTTTTTTGTAATCTACCTTATCTTTACGAACAGATAATTTTTAGAAAAAGTTTTATGCACATAACTATGATATACAAATGTCAATCCAAATGTTACATGTAATAAAAATACCACTATTTTACAAACTTATGAAATAATTTTTTGAAAAATAATTAGAAACAAAAAGAATTATTGGTTGATTACTTAAAAAACAATATAAAAAAAATTATGTACTTCTAATCTTTAAGAGAGTTTATGAAGCTGGGCTCAAAGTATCTATTGGTGGTGCAGCCACACATATCCCTCCTAAATATACTCTTTGAAATGGGAACAAAATGAAATGAGGTGTTAGAATTCAAACATGAATTTGTTAGCCATTTTATTTAATTAAAAGGTGTATCAACTTGTATTGTAATTCTAAATTTATACAAGTATAATTTTTAGTCATTTAATACGGTGTAAATCTTAGTTTTGCATCAGGCTTGATGTGTGAAGTGTGAATGTTTCACTGGATGATTTTGAGTTATAAAAATTTGTCAATGTTCAAATATATAAATCGGCATCAAATTGCTTAACCTATAATTGATATATTGCCACATTAATATTATATGCAAAATCTTCTCACCTAAATCTACTAGACATGTGAAAAGAAAAAAAAAATAGAAAAAAAAATAAAATCTACTAGATATGTGAATGAAACAGAAATATAAGATAGTGTGGTAAAATTGGTAATTAGATGAAATAGAAAAATGAAATATTTATGAATAGGAGGTTAGAATTCTCACACAAATCATTCCATTTTATTTATAGTGATTATAAATTTTGGTGAATCTTATCGTATGTATGGTATTTATATGTTATTTGTAGTCTTGGATACAAAAGAGTAAATAATATTTGTTGAAATTTTTGAGACATTGGTGAAAATTAAAATAAAAAGTCACTCAAATCTGCAGTTTCTTCAGTTCTATAATTAGTGGGATTCACTGATTTTCAGAAGTTATAAATACTCCGTAATTGATTGTATAGATTGAGGCATTTGGGATTGGAAAAGCTACTACAATTTACAGCAATTTACTCTCTTGTTCTAATGTGAAACACATAAAATTTAACAATAAAGTTGGTATACATAAAATTTAACAATAAAGTTGGTATACCAAATTAAAAGATATACATTAAGCATGTTTACAACTCCTATATGATTGTTAAATTGCATATTTTTTTTTTAATCTATAATGAAAAATGTGGAAAGAAAATTTTTAAGTAGCATTCTCCTGCGCGCAACAACAAACGAACAAACAAACAAAAAATAAAAATCATTTTATTTTGTTTGATATAAAGATAAATAGGAATGGAAAAATGATTCATTTCCCTCATAGATATAAAAATTTGCTCAGCTTTTTGTTCAGGGTTTCCATGAAAAAAAAAGCTCTAGAATGTAAAGGATTGAATGGTCTTAAATCTCAATTTTTCTCTCATTCGAAACGTGTGACACTTTTTTAGCCTTGCACTTGCAATCCACCGTGCTGATATTAGTTTTACTTTTACTGTCTTACAGCACAATGATGATGATGAGTTGCTGCGGTCCATGACTGTTAATTACAAAATTTGAATAGATCTATTTACTTAATTATTTTATTACTTCGAAATAAAATGAAAAGATTACCCAGGAATGTAAATCTGCCAATAAATTTCACCAGTCCACATATTTCAATAGAATCGAGTGTTTGTTGCAACAACTTTAGAAAGCCCTGTTTTTTTTTTAAAGACAGTCTACCATATCTAATTATCAATCAAGAGTAAAGAGGCGATAGGTTGTCATAAAGATTTAACTTATCCATAATTAGGACATTCTAAGATCTATAATTATACATCTTCATACCAATATTTCGTGACTATAATTATGGAATAAACAACTCATACAAACAAATCCCCTAGCTTTTGTTAAGGAAAAAAACGAAAAAGAGAACAGCTGGAAACAATGAAAATTTCTTTGTAGCACTAATTTATGTAATTAACAACATATTTAACTCACGAGGATTATGTAACGATAAATAAGTAAAACCCAAAATAAGGTTTACAGTTGCAACAGTCCCCTGTCACAATGAGCTTTGTCCACTAGTAGGTAGGGCAGTTTGGATCCACATCATGCGCCCACGACTCCAGTCCCCCGATGATATCCTTTGCTGAAGTAAAACCCATCTTGTGGAGGTATTGAACAGCTCTCTGTGAATCATTACCTCTTCTACAAATTACATACAGAGAGGCACCCGAACCTGTTTTGGTACACTTGCGCTCTTCCTCTTCCTTCAATGCTGAAGATATTTCAGGCAACCTACCTTCCAAACTTGAGAAGGGGATATTCATCGACTGGGGAAGAGAAACGATCTTAAAGTGGTGTGCCGGTCGTACATCAACCAATACACGTGCTTCTCCTTTAACAACTTTCTCATTGTACTCCTTGCTGCTTATTCTAGCGTCTGACGCAAGCAGGTTTAACTTCAATGGAGCCTGCAATCAGTTGGAAGCTCGGAAATGTTAGGGGAATCTTTAATATTTTTGCTCTTTGGTCATTTCTCAGAGCTACAGTCAGGAGTGAACTTTAGAAAGAGAACAAATTTACAACACCGTGACAGATCCACAATTAATTTATTTTGTTCATAATAATGTATATACACATACATAGGACTGTTCAGTTGCTCCCTGGTGTGTAGGGAGCAACATACGCGACTCTAGTACTAATCGTTGGATCTCATCCAATGATTGAAATTGAAAATCAATAAACTTACTTTCTGGTGTACATTGACTATTTCATGCTATCTAACCATTAATGAATGATGATTGATGACTCTGGAACTCTTCATCTTATATATATATATATTTTTTGATAAGTAAATAAATTTTTATCTTATATTTATATAATTATATGTAGTATCACATTCTCCGTAAATTTAACATTTCCTTTATGATAATAACTATTTTCTTTTTACTAGTGTGAGAGCCAATAGCCATAAAATATTATTAACTACTCATGAGAGAGCATTGCTCCACATTTTGTCTTTCAACTTGTACATCAAGTTTATTTAAAAATCCTTAAAATGCACAAACTTCATTAGGTATTAGATTTCTTATTTTATAGAATAGTGTGATTCCTAATTCGACCCTCAGATCGAATCCCCCACCCAAATTGACCCCAAGTAAATCCCAATTTTAACAATCTTGTGTTGGCACAATGGAAAAGAGTAGTAATATTGCCCAGTCATTCAGTTATCATATATGAGACAAAATTATGTATCCAATGAACAGAAAAACATGCATACAAAAGTATAACAATTTATTTTATTTTTTAAGAACTCATGTATCTAAAATAAGTCCCAACTATAATTTAAGACACAATCCACAATAGAAATGAAAGGTGAGTAAGAGAGAGAAAAACTACCGTTGACAAGGGAGACTGAGTGAATTTCTCATAGTCAAAATCTCGAAACTGCTGTGGGGTAAATACTGAGTTTTCTCCACAAACATCGCATTGCAAAGATCTCCCTCTGATCTTGACCTAAGCAACAAGTACGAGATTTATAAATATAGATTGTAGGATTGACACCAGGGCACAGTTAATCCCATGTCTAATAATTAGAACATGACAAGAGGAAGGAAATAAAATAAAATAAAAACCAAGGATGTCTAGAAGAAGTCAATCTTGATCAACTCTTTTGGCTTGTCAACAGAACTCAATAGAGCAGTATTTAAGAAGACAAAGGGTTAATTATAAAATTGAACTGCTTATCGAGATATGATGGAATACAGAGAGAAAATATATATTTTTTAGACATTGTTCACAAGACGTGTGCTCAAGGTTGTCAAACAAAAAAAAAATGAAATTACTTTTATTGCATTCATTGTGGCAGTGAAATTCTAAGGCGGGAGCAATCAGCTCAGTTGGTTCAACAGATTCAGGTTGTTTTCTGTTGAGACAGTGCAGATGGTTCGGTTCGGTACGGTTCTAGGCTATAAATCAGAGCCGAACCAAGACCAACAGTTCCTAAAAATTTGGAACTGGAACCGTTAAACCCTGGAACCGAACCGTAAAAGACTGGTTCAGTTCAGTTCTGAACCATGGTTCTGGTACTTAAAGAACCTCATGAAAAAATAATGTAATAAAACACTATTAAAGGTCTCCCCAAGCCACTGGTAGTACCTTACTACTAGTAGAATATAACATTGAATGCAAAAATGGGAGTGGAAATATATAACATGCAATGAAAGCTAGGGTCGTACCTTACAGATAAGCATTTGCCAATATTAGAATATAACATTGAATGCATACAATTTTTCATAACGAGAGTACAAAATAGGTCTCCCCAAGCACGAAGATGTGAAGACTGTGCAGTCTTATCTTATGTTTTATATTATTAATATATATATATATATATATATATATATATATATATATATAAAATTAGTTTACGGTTCGGTCCGGTTCCGGTTCCAAGGACCTGGAACCGAAACCGAATCGTAAACTAATGGTTCCTTATTTTTGGATCTGAAAGTGGAACCGAAACGTAGAAGAACCGGCTGACGGTTCAGTTCGGTTCGGCTCGGTTTGGTTTGGTTTGCAACGGTTTACCGGTTCCAACGGTTTTTCGTACACCTCTAGAAAAACTACTTCCAATCCTAGAAAACTTATTTCCCTACTTTCACTAAAATGAAGTGTTCTCTGGCAATCATCTTCAACCCTTAGAGAAACTCAATTTTCTTAGGCAGCGTTTGATAACTTAAGGCTAAAAACTATGTGCTTATTGTTTAAAAATGCAAATCGAAACGAGTTATCAATTAAAATGAACACAACACTAAAAAATTATGCAAATTTTAACTCTAAGACACTGATCTCATAATGCTAACTATACTAAAGTGAAATATGGTTTTAAACATTATTTAACTCTACAATTTTATCTTATATTTTCAATTCTACAAATTCAACACTTAAATACCCAAAAATACTAATTTTCCAGCACTAAAATACCTTTTTTTTAATACATATGTCCTATTTTTACCTCTTAAAAACTAATAAGTCCTAATAATTAGTCCCCCCTTTTTATAAACATTTCACATTAGTTCTAAATCCATTAAATAGCCTAACCCTTTTCAACTTGTTACTAATTTTTTTTTTTATAGAACCTAACTATTCTATTCTCGGTTTGTTCATTGTTATCTTGTCCAAATTTTATATATATATTTAAATTTTCATATTAAGTTTTGATTTGGGAAACCCAATTTTTTTTCTAAAGAAAACAAGTTCTTAAAAGACTATTTGCAGCAAGTGTGACTGAAAATTAGAATTTCTTAGAAAAATAACATATAAATTTGAAATTTTTGCCACAAAAAAAGAGAGAAAAATACATTAAAAAATCATTATAAAATTAAGATTTAATTTTAAATTAAAAAATAACATTTAAATAATTTTTTATTCGTTTTAAAACTAATCTTAACATGTTTGAATATTTTAAAAAAATGGTTTTGAATTATATAGCCACAAATTGGAAGGGTAAAAGCTGAAATTTTGATAGTTCTATAACTCATCAGCATCATCATCAACCTTGCCTGTTTCCCAAATGAATGGGGTCGGCCACATGGATTCTCTTTCTCCACTCTATTCTATTATACACCATGTTGCCTCTATGATTTAATGTGTTAAAATCATTTTTAATTACTTCATTACATGTTGATAATTCTATAACTAATGTGTAAATATTTATCAGAAGTTAGATTTTGTTCTCTTAATGAAAATTGTTAGGATCCATTAGTCTTTGAGAGTGATAATGAGATTCATTGTTAAGTGTTTTTTTTATAAATACATATATATATGATTCGTTAGAGCTGCACTATCTGCAAAAACAAGTAAAGCTTAAGAAAAGGATTTATGCTTATGATTGAAAGAAAACAACAGGATGCGTGGTTAGAAAACCTAAAAGTTTAATTGGAAGAACTTTCAAATATATGAAACTTTAAACATACGGTACGAATCCGAGCTGACAATGCATCGAAAAGAAGCATCCGTCCAGAGAGTGAATCACCAACAGCACTTGCAATCTTTATAGCCTCTAGGGCTTGGAGACAACCAATGATCCCAGGAACTGTAAAGTAAACAAATAGATAAACAATATAGAACTATTTATATCATGTGAAAAATCCAAAGAGGGAGGGAATAGATAAACAATAAAGACGAATTTTGAGAAAACGTAGTAATCAGCAAAAAAGGAGACTCCCAATGTAGCAAAAACACAAGCAGGAGACACAGCCACCACTCAAAACAAATACAATGACACGTCAAATCTTTACAAAAAAAAAAAGTACAACACAGACTCGACATCAGCGAAGAAACAATTATAAATAAATATGAAGCTTTATTGATGTTGTACATCTATTAAATAAGAAAAATACAGAATTTTATTAATTTTAGATTTCTATACTAAAAGTTAAATAATTTAGTACACGAAGCTATGTTGAATGTCGTAAAGAACTAAAATTTATTATTATATATCGTAGTACTCTCCTAGATTGTCATTACAATTATATTTTTGTCCTATATAAAAAAATGAAATTTTGTAGTGACCGTGTAAATAATGCCTATATTGTTCTAAAAAGTAAAAAGGCTGAACACTTAGTTTTCAAGATTGATGGATGTGGCTTCTCTTCGATGTGTTTTTTTAATATAAGAGATGTGTTTACCAACGGGCCAGTGGCCTAGCGGTATCAGCCTCATACCTCCCAAAGGGAGGCCAGGAGTTCAAGTCTCAGAAGAGGTGTGTGTGTGTGTGAGTACCAACTAGGGAAAAAAAAAAGGGAAAATTACATATAAATGGAGTCAAAGTTCCATATTTACTTAGAGGCTGAGTCAAAGTTCCATATTTCTCTAAAATGGATTGCTGAGGTGGCACATGATTTTTTACTGTTTAAAAATTGTGGTACCTAAAATACCCTTCTGCGAAGGTACTACTTTTTCTTCGAAGGTACTACTTTTTTGAACTGAAGGTACTACTTTTTGGTGTCCAGGTACCATGTTTTTTAAACACCCGCGAAGGTACTACTTTTTTGAACTGAAGGTACTACTTTTTTGTTAGGGAAGGGCATTTTAGGCACCACAATTTTCTAAACAGTAAAAAACCATGTGCCACCTCAGCAATCCATTTTAGAGAAATATGGAACTTTGACTCAGTCTCTAAGTAAATATGGAGCTTTAACTCCATTTATATGTAATTTTCCCAAAAAAAAAATAAAGAAAAAAAAAAGATGTGTTGGGGAGTTTTTGAGATGTCCGCCAAATGTCTGGGATGCATCAGTAAGTGTCCAAAATAATAATAATAATAATGATTATGGACATGTCCTTTAAGTGTCTCTGTGTCTGACAAGTACAAAACACTTTTGTAAAAGTGTGCTTCCTATGCCTTGCACAGTGTTCTAATCGAGGAATTAAGGGATATTTCTGCTGGCGCTGTCTAATTCTTTCCGACACACAGGATAAATCTCACAATGAAACTTACCACCATCTAAACCGCAATGATCAATAAAGGATCATATAACATGCAGATTCAGATATTTCATACCTTTATAGATAAGACTGTAAGCAAGTAATTCAAATTGGAATCGTTAATGCATGATAATTCAGTAACTTACCAACTCCTAGAACTCCACTATCAGAACATCTTTGGCATGCTGTTGTAGGTGGTGGAGTTGGAAATAGGCATCGATAGCATGGACCTCCATTGTAATTGTAAACTGTAAGCTATAGGAATGATTTGAAGATGCAGTTATGCTAGGAATTTGAACAACATAAATGAAAGCTATAGAATACAAGAAATTCTAGGTGCTTCACATTGGAACAATGGAATAAACTGCTGCTGTAAATTGTACCTGCCCTTCCAATCCCAATGCAGCACCCGATACAAGCGGCTGTATACATGGAAGCGAAAGTGGTCAGTACTCAGAAAATTTCAGTAAGCAAATTAGACTCTCCTCCCCTTTTATAATAAATACAAACATAGTCCAAAGTTGTTTATGTCATGCAAGTTGACAATCTAGTTGTTTTTTTTTTTCTCCCCTCAATTCCATTCTATTAATCATAGACTTCAAAACTAGAGGCAAATGTAAGATTATACCTCGAGAATGATATACTGAAAATGTAGAGAAGGCGGCATGGTAACATTACAAAGCTTGCATAACATGATTACTGATAGTACCATCGAATAATTTGACTTTTAAGTGAAAAGCACCATAGAAACCTGCTTACCTTCCTCAACACCACACAGCAATCACTGATCAAGTAACGGCTTGGAGCATTGTCTGTAGCATCTATTACTATGTCATACCTTAGAGGCGTTAGTCATGGAAATCGTAATATTTCAGCTGTACCGACCAGTAACGGAACCAAATAAACCAAAACACACCCAAAAAGTAAAATAAATATAAAAAAGAGAGAAGAAGAAGGAACATAGCATTGAGGAAATCATTATATTTTTAAATTGCTTTATCAAGGATACTTGCTCAAAATTTCCAAAGCATTGGATGTGCGTAAAGCTTCTTTGTGTTCCACAATCTGAACAGTGGAGTTAATGCTAAAAATAGAAATCTGAGTTAGAGGCAAGCAAAATAATAACACAACATATCATTAACAAAGACTTTAATCGGAAAGAAAAGGTGAGGTCATCCTTCCAAGGGGGAAGTGTACAGGCACTGAAACTTGTGATCAGGTTATTCAAAAGAAGTTAATAGATATTCCAGAAAGAGTTACATACGAGCGACAAGCAGCAGCAGCAGATTCTACTTTTGACTGACCAATATATGCTTCAGTATGGATAATCTGAAATAAACATAGTAGCCACCAGATGAAGATTCAAAACCAAAACCACTTCGTAAAATTAATACATATTCACGCATATCAGAAAGACAATTTACTGAGGAAGTTATGTAGCATAATAATTGACAGCATAATTTAGACCTGTACCTGCCTGTGTAGATTGTTAAGCTCAACTACATCATGATCAACAATACCTAAGCGACCTGGAAAGTCCAACAACATAGTTCACTTCAGAAACAGAAAGATTTGTTTATAATAAGGTAGCTCTCATGGTTCCAGTTGAAGCACCAATTCGTTTAAAGTGGGTTTCAAAATCATTTCAATTATCATGACGAGAAGACATCAACAATAAAGCTCCATTAACCAACAGAATTTAGGCAAGTAAATAAATAATTTACCATGAGAAGACCAGTATTTTGTGTTTTCTTTTATGATTGTGGCATATATGGCATTTTTAAGAGAGTAAGAGCAGATATCTTACCAACACCACAGGCAGCAAGGTAAAACAGAGCAGGTGAGCCCAGCCCTCCGGCTCCAACAACTAAAATTGAAGACTTCAACAGATTCGACTGCCCTACAATCAAAGAGGCAAATAAAAAAGAAAAGTAAGATGAAAATTCTAACCAAGTGAAATAAACATAGAAGTATTAAATACACAAACTACAATGTTGGACTATCGATTGCTCATCAACCATGGTCTGATCTTATATTAATTGCAAATTTGCAATCAAAGTGTGTCTCCAATAAACTTCCAAATACAATAAACTCTTTAAATATAAAATGTATACCTAAATGGGGTATTCTTTTTGTGGGAGAAAATTTTGTTATATGGACCTAGCCTGACAGTAAGATAGTAGTATATATTTAGATTCCATGTTTTTTTAAGCTTCTTACAAACAAGAAAATAGCAAAAGGCACGAGTTTAATATCTACAAAATGAAGCGTGTGGTTAAATCATCCGATCTTCTTTAGTATGAATGCGATGACATCAATATATGGCCTCCAACAGACATTCTAGGGTTAATAGAGTTGCATCTTCTTCACGGAGAAGATTAGGGCCTGCTTGTTTCAGTTTTCTAAGAACTGAAAATCAGACAATTATACAAAAATCTGTTTGTTAGACAGTTTCTGAAACCTATTTTCTAAAACTCAGTTAAAAAAATGGATGTTTTCAAATAACTGTCTTTTATAGTTCTCTTAAAACAGTTTTTTTTTTTTTTTTTAAGTTCTTGAGAATTGGTTTTTGAAAACTGAACCAAGCAGACCCTAATTGTTTGTCTTGCAAATAGCACAACCACCCATTTTTGACCTTATAGGAACTTGAATCTTCACTTGGTGAGTAGGCAAGTATTGTTTGTCTTGTAAATAGCACACCCTACCGATTTTTTACCTTAAGGGAACTTGAATCTTCAAGCTTCCAACGCTTTTGAAGAGATGCCACTGGGTTACAGCCCAGATTCACATAGAAGATTAGTGTCACTATTGATACATGAGATGTCCACCCCTCAACAAGACCAAATTCTCTCACTTATACTTGAACTGGAATTCAACTTCTCTAGCTTACCTAATTTTTTTAAAATTCTTAATTGTTACTATTATTACCATATAATTTTAATCATGTTCTAAGATTCATCAATTGGCAACTCTCATTCATAATGCACGCAATGAATTCAATAAAATAGAATCAAAAAGAAAGAGAAAAAGCTGGAAATATCATACAGCGGACTCCCTAATTATTTTCTGTGTTGTCTTTCATACTTATAACATTTTCCAACCTATACAGATATAGCACTGAAACACACACTGTCACAGTTGCTGTTCAAATCAGTAAGCCGGTAACAAAGTAAACAAGAAACATATAGGCTCTATATATATACACACACACATATATAAAGTGAAATGAAGCGAACCTTGAACACCGAAGGAAGGAAGCAAGAGTTGGCGACTGTATCTATAGATCATATCGGACGACAATCCATGTCCTAAACCTGAGTGAACGTTGGATATTGGAGGACACAAGCTAACCGAATTGTTACCGTCCTTCTCATCGTTGATATCACGAAACTGAGCTTCGAGAACAGATAATCGATGCTCGATATTGCTCTTCGTAGCCTTCAAAGACTCGATCTCACGGAGAATCCGAGACGCGTCGACTCTGTTGTTGGACTCCATGCTCTTCTCTGCTCTGCTCCAGCGTAGATCACAATCAAAACCCTAACCTTTTTTTCCCGACTAAAACCCTAACTCACTAACTCAGTGACTCAGAAATACGGAGTGAGGGTACCAATTGTGCGTGAGTGGGTTGTTCATTGAGTTCAGTATTTTTTGATTGGTGGACTACTATTTCCTTGAATTTATTTTACCAATTTGTCCCTGCAAAAATATTATGACTAAACTTACTTTACCGGTGAATAGGTAAGTTAATAATTTTATGAGTAATCCAAATAAGTTGAAAAGAAAAAGAAATAAACATTGTAGTGGTTCATTTTTATTTTTATTTTTATTTTTTATTTTTGTAATTAAAAGAAAATTTATATTTATGAGTGGATCACACCTGTGAGGGGTATCTATTTATTAATGAGTAAATAAATATTATCTAAAATATAATTTAATAGTTATGTAGTAATTAAATCATTCCTTTGCATTTTCTGTTATGTCTATTGCTTGAGGGATGAAAAAAGGTGGACTCCATATCCCACTAGTGGTGCCCCATTTGGGATAAATTTGGGCCAGGCCCACAGCCCATTAAGTAGTTATTGCCCATTGGTTCAGAGCCCAAGATGTTTAGAAAAGTACAAGACTTTTGTTAGATTTTTTATTTTGGAAAATGATTTTTAAAGCCCGGAAGTCAGAGTAAATTGTCTAAACCAAAAGTTTTGGTTGATTATTGTATACAAAATATAAGAAAATGCAACCCTTTACTTTCTTGTATAATGCAAATATGACCAATTTCGGCCAGACAATTTACATAAGATTTTGGCTTAAGTATCACTATTGTGTTCTTTTTTTGGTTATGAAAATAACATCTCAGAGCATCTCCAACCATTATGTATATTTTTTTTGTGGATATATAATGTGTCATGATGAATTTATATAAAAATTTTAAATTATTTAATAATAATTATAAATAAATAAATAAATTGTTAATTTTTCAAAAAAAATATACTCCCTTCATCTCAAAATAAATGTTTGTCTGACAAACTTAGTTTATGTGCCTTTATATAAAAAAAATTAAATTAAATTAAATTAATAAAGCATACCATATGACAACCTTAATTACTTCATGTTTCACATCATGATATGAACACATGATCCAAAGAACTTATTAGGAGATGTTTATTGATCATCATCATGATTAGTACTATTGTTGTTACTATTAATTTTGTTCAAAAGCATATATGTTGGTGTTTGTCCCATGGGATTGCACTCACAGCTTCAGTATTAAAAAATAATGTCCGTTTTAAAAATTGTGACCAATAATTTTCAAAACAAACATTTATTTTGAGATGGAGGGAGTATATTTTGTTTTCTTATATAATTTTTAGTTCAAATAAAGCATTCATTTAGAATTGAAATTTTAGCTTTAAGAAACTACTATTATGGCCATGTATATGTCATACATGTCGTATGAAAATATATGCACACATTTACAAAGATATATATATATATATACACGAACTTGGACGGTGGTTTTTAGTTTGTCCCTTGTGGAAACTCTAGTTAAATGTTATCTTACATCTCCCATCGTGAATGTGACAGAGCAGACAAACCCCAAACCAAATAATACTTCTTGTTAAAATTTTCAAACCAAACATTGAAATTGTAACGATCGACACTCATTCTCTTTCTTCCATATAGTCAAGGACAAGTGCTTTACTCTTCCCCAACTTTATCTCTTCCGGGTGAAAAATGTAAGGCGTTGTTTGGTTTCAGACTTATTTGTTGAAAATAGACGGCCATAAATATGGTGGTTATGCTCTTCGCGGACTCCAATCCAAACATGTACTGTTGTATAGTACCATTACCATCACATCTTAACGATGAATTTACAACTATTTGACTGCTTTCACAATGCTTTTTCTTGGGATCATCTTCAAAATCTACAATTTTGTAGTATAGCTTGTTCTCAATTAAGATTTTTTAATCAATTAGCTCGGAACAGTTGATCGAACATACATTATTTGATTGAATGACGTGGGTTTGAAAGTGAGACCACACCATCAATTCATCAAATGAAGAGTAATGTTATGGAGAGCACTGCTTATTGACCCTTGAATTGAATGATTTGTTTGATTTTTACAGATTTTATAAAACGCTAGTAATTTAATAGTTAAATAACACAAGTAATTCTTATGACTCGTATCTTATTATGATCTAATTAGTTGGGATACTTTTATGAGATGTTGGACACCGATACTCTATGGATACGTCGAGACACATGACTGATAATTCATGGCCATGCCTATTATTTAAAATAAATTTTATTATTTTGAATACTCAACCCACAAATTTTGGACACTTAGTCGATACAACCTACACTCTTCAAATTATATGAAAAAAAATCACGACAATCCTAAAATTCATGGCCGTGTCCATTATTTAAACTAAATTTTATTATTTCGAATACTCGGCCCACAAATTTTGGACACTTGGTCGATACATCCTACACTCTTCAAATTATATGGAAAAAAAATCACGACAATCTTGAAAATAACATTATAAACATACATCAAAGTATTCAACCTCTAAGAAACAAAAACATAACTATAATGATAAAATAGGATAGTACTATCATATATAATATAACATATTCATTTTGATATTCAAATATCGTCATCTTCTAACTTTGTAATTTTAGTCAGAGTTTATAAATTAATTAAAGTTCTATGATTATCTTATTCAATTAATATATAAATTAAAATTTATATTTATACTAAAGGTGTCACATGTCATGTCTGTCTTATTTTTTCAGGAATTGATGTGTCAACCCATCCGTATATCGTATCGTGTCTATCTTCATATTTCTTAAGTAGTGATAAAATGATGAAAAATAGATAGAAGAAAGTTACGGAGTGTCGTTTCTTATATATGCATGGATCAAAGGAAGATAACTTGGTGAAAACTTAGGGTTTAAGAGTTTGGTGTGTGAAGCTTAAGACCAAACTTGGGGTTTAAGACTTAGGGTGTGAATATTAAGACCCGTTAGGGCATCACCATCCCATACCAGGGGCCAAAGCTGACAAGCCAATATAAACACTTAAAACAAGTCAACATGCAGTTGGATATCATCATATTTGGTACCATGACAACCAAGTCAATATGTAGTTGGACGTTTCTCCTCGATCAATTGGTGTTTCTCAACCGTGTGCACCAACTCCTCTCTCACGGTGGTTGATGTCGATAAAAAGAGGCCAAAAGCAGCGTGAACTTTCCATGGAGATAAGGTCGGATGACCTGTGCAATTAAGGGATCAACCTATTTAGACTTATTAGCCAACTTCAACATTTTTAAAATATTATAGAAATCTTTGTAATTTTTCTTTATTGTTAATCACTAATAATTGACTAAAATATCTTTAGATGCATAAAAACAAAATGTTGAGCTGAGATTCATGAATAAAAGAAAAGTCCTAACGCGTACTAAAAATTGCAAGATTTTCTTTCTTATGCTCTCTCTCCCGGCCCCCTCGTTTTGTCTTACATCACATTATTGATTAATTTTAGTGCTCTTCTTTCCTTTTCAAATGAGTATTATATTTTGAATTTGGGTAATAGTATCACGGGTTATAATCGTATCATGTCAATTTAAGATTTTTCATTAAAGAGCTCAATTCGAGTATTATTTGTTTAATAATCGTGTCAAAAACTTTCAATACTAACCCGACCTGTTTATTAAACGGATTACATGTGTAATCCGTTAATGACATATTTACTAAAACAAAGCATTATATTATTTAAATTATTAATAATATTCAATCAAACAATAAGTGCTAGATAAATATAAAATTCAATCTAATCAAATTACTAAATAATCTATAATTTACAAAATAATAAATTATAAGACACAAGTTTACATATTTATCTTGAAATTTAAATAGAAATTTGTTTATGACAAATATAGTTAAACGGATTATAAAGGTTAAACCATTATAAATTCAAATAACACAATTAACTCGAACCCATTTAAGGTCAATCCAAACTCGCTCAACTCATATCATATTCGAGTCATGTCAAACTTTGTCACCCCTAAACTTGGAAGTATCAAATTAGTGCCTTAAATTTAGAATTAAAACAGTTCAAAATTTCAACTAAATTTTTTTCAATTCTAAATTCAAATTAGTGATTTGATACTACCAAATATAACTAGATTTTATAGTCACTAGTTGAGTAGAATGAAACGTGGCAGCCCCCAATCCAACAGTTAGTAGGTGCTAAATTTTCAAGATTTTTGTTGAAATTAAAGAGGCCATTCATTCTCCTCGTGCGTATATATAGACTATATAGTCAAATAAATGGCTCCTCCTCTTCACACTGGTGCAAAATGATAGGTATTGTTTGGTTTCGCGTCTATTTTCCCGGGAAAGTCAAGAGGGGATGCCCACAAATACAACAATCCCCACCTCATACATGCATCCCACCCGTGCAAAGACGTCGGCTGCAGTTCTCAATTTAAGACATCGGTCCCCCTAGGTTATTTTATGTAAATAAAAAATAATTTCATGACATCATTACTCATAACGATTATACAAATACAATTATGATCGATTCTTAAATTTAAACTTTTTATTATATATATATATATAAGCATACTCACATAAAATTCCACGCGCAATGCCCCCACTTCACAACAAAACCGTTCATGGTTGTCTAATTCGTAACCATGAGTAAGGAGTTTTTAATTCAACTAGTTTAATTTTTTCTTAATTATTTTTTTTAATCAAAGGTACTTGTCTGACTAACTTAAATTGGATTATTGTGAAGCTTAGATGTTTAATGGACCCCACTTTGGATGCCACTTATCAATACATTGAAGTTGTAAATTGTGTCTTGTCGTTGTGCCACATTAATTATTTACCATCCCGCGCAACGGTCCCCTTTGCTCTTATGATTACAATCAAACAAGCACAGCTGGCAAGCCAACGTTCATATTGGTGAAAATCACAGGTAAAAACTTTTGTTTCATAATCAGAGGGATATTTATTTCTCTACAGATAAACTTTCAAGATGCAGCTCGTGCAGATTAAGGGTTGACATAAATTTAGGAGTCCCAATTTGTGTTTGTGCCCAATTTAATAATCGTGTTAGAAATTTTTTATATTAATTTAACCTATTTATTAAACAAATTACATGTATAATTCGTTTAATGACTTATTTAATAAAATTAAATAATTTATTACTTAAATTATTAATAATACTCGATCAAACATTAAATACTAAAAAAATATAAGTTTCATTTGAATCAAATTACTAAATAATTTTTAATGTACAAAAGAATAAATTATAAGATACAAGTTTAGATAGTTATTTTGGAATTTAAATAGAAATTTTCTTATGACACGCAGGTATAAACGGATTATACGGGTTAAACTTCACAACTCAAACACGACATGATTAACTAAACAGGATAATTGTGTCGACCCGTTTATGACCTGAACCCGTTTAAGATTAACTCAAACATGTTTAACTCGTGCCGTTTTGACAAATTATGTCAAACTTTGTCACCCCTACCTGAATTTGAATTTCCATTATAAAATTTTCAATATAAGTTTGAACCAACTTAAAAAAACATAATATGCGTTTAATCTGGCTTTAATATTCATGAGTTGGTGTTAAACGTATATTAATTTCATTTATTCAAATTGGTTACGAAAGTATTCCAGTTATTAATAATTGGGCAAAGTTGGACATTTTAAAGTAAACTTCCCTCAAGCAAGTTTAAAAAAAATAAAAAATTATCCTAGGGGGTAAAAAGAGTAAATATTTAGACTAAAATGGATGCGAAACCAAACAATGCCTATCATATCTCACAACCCGTACATCAAAAAATTGAAAATAATATAAGCACAGAAAGCTTATGAAACAATTATTCCAAAAATATAAGATTTGTGGAACAATCCACCATAATTAGAGAGAAATAGGCAAACTAAAAATATGTTCCAACAATCTTATTTTATTTTAATACATGGGATATTTGCAAGAAGTTTTCAGAATTATTCATTTACATAATAGAGCATAATATATAAAAAAAATTTAAAAAAAATAGACCCAATGGAGACTGATTTCATGAGATATCATATTGTGTGTCAAGGTAATTTCATTTTCTTATAGACTCGCCATTTTTTAAAATTAAAAAAAAAAAAAAATCAAAATGAATAATCGATTTCTGTTGGGGCTAAAATGAATAATTCTATAAATTTTCTTGCAAATATTTCTAGTATTTTATAAGATTACTCAAGCAGATTCTTAGATTGCCTATTTCTCTCTGATTGTGATGGCTTGTTGCACAAATATTATTTCTGGAATCTTTATTTCATAAACTTTTCGTGCATATATTATTTATAATTTTTGAATGTAGGGTTTGTGAAAAATGAAAATTTGAAGTTTAGGAGAATTATAATTCAAATAAAACATCAATAAGAGCATTTTGGTCCAAATATCTACTATTTCATCCCTTATAATAGTTGGGATTTTTTTTCGGTAAAAAATTACTCGAAGGGGGTTTATTGTACTTTGCGCTTAATATTTTATCAAGGGTTGTGTGACTTGGTGGTACTTGCTCGCCTTCCAAATTTGAAGGTCCATGGTTCAAGTTTTTATTATTTTATTTTTATTTTTTAAATGTTGTACTAAAGTTATTAATAGTTTAATAAAAGTAAGAGTAGTGATACTTGAGCCGAATTCTCAAATTGAATTGTTTGACCAATAAGCTCTCTACGTGAACCTATCAATACATTAAATTTGAGCTTCCTAATCCAATTTGTACCCTTCAAAATGTCATATTTTTCAAGTTTTTAAATTTTAATGTGAATGTAATATCTATTTTGTTGACTTAATTAATTCTTGATTGGTCCCTAAAAGACCCGAACGAGTTTTAGGTACCAAGGATCATGTCACCTAGGAGTATCCATTTTACTTCCCAAAATAGATGCAAATGGTTTGAGCCCCTAAAGCTTCGTTTGGTTGGAGGGATAGAAAAATGGATGGAAGAGATAGGGAGAGGGATGGATGAGGAATCCCTATGGTGTTTCCTCCATTTTTTGTTTGGTTGAATGAAATGGATAGTAGAAATGATAGATAGGGTGATAAATTTATTTATTTTTTTGAAAAGAAGGGAAAGAGTGTTTATATATATATTACTTAAATACCCTCACTTATAAAATAATAGAAGTTAGATATCCATTTGAATTTTTTTTGAAAAGTTAAAATTGAAAATTTTATATTTGAAGGTAGTTAGTTATTCATTTTATCTCCCCCCATTCTCTCCAAAATTGGGCAGATAGAAAAATATGAAAAAAATGACCTCTTTGCTTCCTCCCTTTCTTCCCTTCCTTCCAACAAAACATGAAAAGTTTCATCCAACCGTCCTCTCATTCCGGACGGACCTACAGCAAGCTGATCCTTGATTTTTTTTTTTTAATAATATAACCTTGCTAATATGCCTTTTTCAAATACATGACCTTAAAAAATTACCATTGCCCCCCTAAAATTATTTTTTTAAAAATTTATTATTATCCCCCCTCACATTATTTTATAATTCTTAGTAATTGTGATCCATCCTGCTCAATCCCTCCCCAAACCAAACGCAACATAAAAGAGCAAAATGGATGTCTATTTGTGGAAAAACAAAAAACAAAAAAGTGCTCTAGATAACGGAACACTTGAGATTAGTTCACCAACATCACTACGAGGAAAACTGACTTTGAGGATTACAGTAGATTTTGTTGACTATGATTTGGTATAAAAATGTTGACATTTGTTGGTTTTGTTGGAAGAATGTGTTTTTAGTGGTTTGCCTCTTTTTAGGAGCTACTAGTATTTCGTATCTCACTAAAAGTATGTGCATATCATCATGAACAGAATGCAAAATAAATTTAATTTACTTTTATGATAGTTTATATATTTAGATATAATAAATGGAGTCATAGAGGCTCTCTTTGGACACCATATCTCAATCCTTTCTTCTTTTTTTTATGTGTTCACTCTTAAATTTTAACATACTTTCATTTAAATTTGTTCTAATATTCTTAATATAAAAACATTCATGATTTTTAATATAATTATTCATCAATGTCAAAAGACTCAAAACGTAACATGAGATGTGAATGTGATTATATGACATTAAATTCAATGGGGTCATTAAAACGTATACTTATTAGTTTTGGCTTAAGTTTTTCTTGAAAATTGCATAATTGAAGATGGATATAAATTATCTCACCTCGATTGAAATAATGATTTATTTAGACAATTTTAAGTCTAAACTAAAGCGTGATATCAAAACTGATAAGGAAAAAAATAATAATTATAAATCCAAAAAAAACTAATAAATGAGTGAAAATAACAAGTCGTAGTGAATATACACTATAACAAGTTAAACTAATTTAAATATTTATACAAGCTTAACAAACTCTGAAAATTGTTGTTTCACATCCATTTGCATCCTTATAAATATGAAATTAGAGAATATGAAAATTAAGCAAGAAAACACAGATAAGTGAAAAACATTTCATTGTTTATCATCATTTTTCATAATTTCTAATTTTTCATATATATCTTTAATTAGGCTAATTTATACTCTCTATATTATATATATTTAATTTTCTAAAATAGATAAACTTCAAAACTCAGAAACTCTGTTTGTTGGCCAGTAGTAGGTCCCACCCACTCTCCAATGTTAACCCACCCCCAACGGCATTGCCTCCCCCTCTCTCTCCTCTAGCCCCCACTCACTCCACTTTCCCTGTCTATGTAACACACGCACAGAGTCTATAAAAACACATATACACACAACGTAAATCCCAATCTCTATCTCCCTATCTCTCTATCTCCCTATCTCTGCTCTGCTTCTATCGGATCCAGAGCACAGCAATGTCTTGCTTCTCTCACTCCCTTTTCGTCTTCTCTCTCATTTCTCTCACCTCTATCCATTCCACAATCGCCGCCGATGCGGGTCTGGTCGGAGTGAACTACGGCAGAATCGCCGACAACCTCCCACAACCACCCAAAGTGGTTGAGCTCCTCAAGACCCAAGGCCTCAACAGGGTTAAGGTCTACGACTCCGACTCGGCGGTTCTCACCGCCCTTGCTGGCTCCGGCATCACCGTCACCGTCGCACTCCCCAACGAGAACCTCTCCTCCGCCGCCGCCGACCAGTCATTCACCGACAAATGGGTCCAAGACAACGTCGTCGCCTACCAACCCTCCACCCAAATCGAAGCCATTGCCGTCGGCAACGAGGTCTTCGTCGACCCGAACAACACGACCGGGTTCCTCGTACCCGCCATGAACAATGTCTACTCTTCACTCGTCAAGTACAAGCTCGATTCCTCCATTAAAGTCTCTTCCCCAATCGCTCTCAGTGCCCTCCAAAACTCGTACCCATCGTCGGCCGGCGCGTTCAAATCGGAGCTGATCGAACCCGTGATCAAACCCATGTTGGAATTTCTCAAGAAAACGGGCTCGTACCTCATGGTTAACGCTTACCCATTCTTCGCTTACACTGCGAACGCCGACGTGATCTCATTAGACTATGCTCTGTTTCGAGACACGACGGGGGTTGTAGATTCCGGCAATAGTCTTAAATACTACAGTCTCTTCGACGCCCAAATCGACGCCGTTTTCGCGGCCATGGACGCTCTGAAATACAGCGATTTGAAAATGGTGGTGTCGGAGACTGGTTGGCCGTCGAAGGGAGACGAGAACGAAGTGGGTGCGAGCGAAGTGAATGCGGCGGCGTATAACGGAGGCCTGGTGCGCAGAGCGCTCACCGGCGGTGGGACTCCCCTGAGACCCAACGACTCTCTCAACATATATCTATTCGCTCTCTTCAATGAGAATCAGAAAACCGGTCCCACATCGGAGAAGAACTATGGATTGTTCTATCCAACTGAAGAAAAGGTGTACAACATACCGTTGACGTTGAAGGATTTGAATAGTGGTCAGTCAACGCCGGTAAACGGGAGCAAGAGTCAGGTGGTGGTGGCGGCGACGCCGCCGACGGCAGCGACGGGGCAGACGTGGTGCGTGGCGAATGGGAATGTGGGGGAGGAGAAGTTGCAGGCGGGGTTGGACTATGCTTGTGGAGAGGGAGGAGCTGATTGCCGTCCGATTCAGGAAGGTTCCACGTGTTACCATCCCGACACGACTGAGGCCCACGCTTCCTACGCGTTCAATAGCTATTATCAGAAGATGGCGCGTAAAAGTGGATCGTGCTATTTTGGTGGCGCAGCCTACGTAGTCACCCAACCTCCGAGTATGTATTCTATCATCTCTCACCATGCATAATATCTATATCAATATTTAAGCAATGTATAAAATTATAAATCCAAAAAAAAAAAAAAACCCAAATGCTCTCACAATAAATAAGTCAAGAAAAGATGTTATATGCAATAAAATCACTTTAATGCATTAATAATTGAAAATAAATGTATTATTATTAATTGCTTGTGTTTTCACTCTTTGTTTCTTTTGCTTCTTGTCTAAAAATGGTGTGTTTGTGTTGCAGAGTTTGGCACTTGCGAGTTCCCTACTGGATACTGAGTTGATAAAGATTGGGGGTGTTTGGATATAAGTTCAGAATTCAGATAGGGATTTGTTGATGTTAGTTTATATATTTCTTGTAGTTACTGTTATGTTGGACATTTATTCTTAATATTTATATATATATATATATATATATATATATATATATATAATTCTAATTTTTGTATGGATGGGTGGGTGTGGTTGTTCTCAGCTGTTTTTGACTATCTTGTGTGTAAATATACATCCTATTTTTGTATTTGTTCTTATGAATTGGGTTTTATTTATTTATTTTGACAAAAAAAGTGACCTTTCCTTGTGTTTGTGGCATTCTTTTTAACATTTGGTGGTAGTGGTTTTCATGATTAAACATGATAAAAAAAATAAAAAATAAAATCTTGATAACAAGTTTAACTTCTAAGAAAAGATTTGCCTCCAAGTGCATGACATAATAATTAAACAAAAGCAGAGCTTATCATGAATTTTATGTCATCTATACTTCTTACCTCCTTATCACTATAGTATTTGAGTCCTTTGCTGACAAAATACTCAAACTTTTGTGTCTATAATTAAAGAGTGAATTTGCATAAAACCCTCTTTTATCACTATAGTATTTGAGTCCTTTGCTGACAAAATACTCAAACTTTTGTATCTATAATTAAAGAGTGAATTTGCATAAAACCCTCTTTTATTTTTATTTTTTTTAAAAAAAAAAAAACTCCAACTCACCAAGGGGATTACTTTTACTAAAATACCCCTACCAAGCCAAGGGGTTTTTTGTGAACTTGGTAAGGGTATTTTTGGAAAAAAACTAACCGATTGGATTAATAGTGATATTTGACCTAAAATACTAAATTTAGAATCAAATGACTCAAAAATTTAATGTTTCTCCACAACTGGACTGTAAATTGGATCTCATATAAAAAAATAAATAAATAAAAAGAGCTTTGCCAAACAGTTGATTGGCCCAGGGTCGTAACTGGGACAGATATTGGTAATGTCCTAAATTTTGTAATGACAAGTTGGGCCAAAATACAAAGTGCATCTCAAAATTCAAAACCGAAGCCCAACGCAGCCCAACCGAATTTAATAAAGTATTTGCAATTAGATTTAGATATACCAAATATGAATGGAAAAAGTCTATTTTCAGACTTTTTTATTTTTTTAATTATAAAATAGTATTTTACAATTCCATGCTCTCTACATCACTTTTATTATACTCCCTCTTAATTTTATTTTGACATGCTTTCCTATATGATCCATGTGGACCGCCAGAAGGCCAAATAGCTCTCTCTTATTTTACTATTTTTCGGGATAGTTTAAGATTCAATTTTAATTAGAAGTAGCCCAACTTGCAAAATACAGCAGATTTGCTACTGATGTAAGGTGTTTTTTCAGCCAAATTCTACTGTTTAGGGATCCAAAAACTGTATCAATTTTTGTTAGAAATCTAAAAGGATTTGAATTTTTTTAATTATAGTTTTTAGTAATTAAGTTTCAATTTTTTTATTATTTTGCGTTAGAAGTACATATTATAATTCTTTTATTTAGAATTCAGTATTAAAAAAAAAAAAAAAAAAACTTAATTCTGCTCTAATAGTATATTAATTACTGTCTACTCTATTAGCTTAAGTTATAAAGTACATGTAATTTAAATATTTTAATAAAGAGTAGTGATTTCAATGATATATATTACTAAATTAACAAGTGGGACTGTTGTCTTGCAGAGTTTGGCAATTGCGAGTTCATTTGATAAGAATTGGGGCTGTTTGGATAAAGTTCAGATAGGGATTTGTTGATTTTAGTTCATATACTTCTTGTAGTTATTGATCATGTTGGACATTTATTCTTATTCTTATATTTATTATATATATATATATATAATTTTTATATGATGAATAGGTGTGGTTGTTCTCAGTTGTTTTGACTATCTTGTGTGCATTTACATCCCTGTTTTGGATTTGCTCTCTAAAGTATTGCGTACAAGTTTTATTTATATTTTTTTTATGTTTATCGTCTTATGGATTAGAATATGAGCTTTATTTATTATTATTTTTTAAAAAATAATAAATTATTTTTTAAAAAAGTTACCTTTATTTATGTTTGTCCCATCTCTAACAAATATCCTTTTTTTAACATTTTGATGGTTGTCTAAGAAAAATTTCATTGCAAGTGTAACTCCTAAGAAAAGAGTTGCCTCTAAGTGCAAAACATAATTACACAGATAAAATAAAATAAATGCTAGTTTTATCTCTTCATTTATGGTATGCGAGTCCTTTGAGACTAATAAAATCTTGGTGTATATAATTAATTAATAATGGTATTTGATGTGTTAGTAAAATGTTGGTCATAACCAAGGGTCTTTTGGTCCAATAGTATCTTCTCTGTCTCTTAAAATACATGGTGAGAGTTCGAATATTTAAAGGAGTAAAGTAGGCGTGTGAGTTTTTGCCCAAAAAAAATAATAATAATAATAATAATGAAATGAAAAGAAAAGAAGAATATGCTTTATTGGATCCTTTAAAAATGATGGCTAAGTAGAAGAACAGATGATTGTATTTGAGAAAGGTAATTTGGTAATAAAAAGTTGGGCCACCAAGCTCTTTCACAGTTCAGAAACCCAACAGCCCGACCCATATTTTTAAAATGAAAAAATTAATGAAGTACTGTCAATTTTCTTGGACTGGATTTTGGATGAACTAGGGCTAGCTAGAGATCAGTCCCCAGCAGGTTGAGGACATTTACATACCTTGTTGTCTAGTGGTATCTCTCATCTACCTTCCAAAATGAATGGTGAAGGCTCGAGTTTTTCCAAATGGGCAAAGTAGATGTGTGTGGTGGGTGTTGCATTTCTTGCTCGAAAACTTGACTTATTTAACCTCCAAATGTCATTTTCTTTCCCATCTATCTTGTCTGTCCACCTCTTGGTCTTGGATTTGGTTTCTACGAGTAATACATGCTTATATGTTACTATATATAATAAGATTTAATACCAATATAATGTCTATTTGGGTCAACTTGAATCCTCATCAGTTGCAATGGTTCAGTCCGAAATGCCAAAAGACCCCAACCGTTAATTCGATGTCTGGACAGGCCCAACACACTTTAAGCATGTCAAAGCCCAATCAAAGATTATTAATGGGTGTAGACCGTAGACCCAACCTTGGCTAGGTCATCATCCCCTATCAGAATAGGATCAAAACGGTAACAAATTCACACTTGTTCATTGATAAATATCTTCTGTACAAATTCTGAGAGGTTAGTTTAAAAATGGAGATGAAAGCCAGATGAAAGTTCTTAAATAAAGATGACAAAGTAAAGTTTTAGGTTTTTGGTCATGGATCCCTAACCAAGTCCCATCCATGTGTATTTATAATCAAGTCCAGGCACCGACCTAGTGTATATTCAGTGGTGGCAATTTTTGTTTTTAGTATTAAACTATTAATATTAGTGATTTTTATTTATTTTTTTGAATTATATACTTATGAGTTTTTCATATTGCCTCCCGAAATTATATATAAAAAAAAATCACGCTATTTTCCCCCATTCCCTCACATAATTTTTTGGCTTTGTCACTAAGCCAATTAGTTAAGAGTAACGTGATCAGTTACTGAGCACTGCTGATTAGTTTATTGAATAATGCACAATTACTCGAGTAGTGCACTAAAGGTGTTGCTATGAGAAATCATTCTTGACATGGTCGTCTTCACAAGTAAGTATTGGATGCGCCGACACACTGTGCACTGGATTCATTCGATTCGTCCATATACTACCGTGTACATCTTGAACGGCTGAAATGCAACCGGTGCACAATGCACACTAAATATCTATTCATTCTTCACGCGCTGATATGGTCGCAATTGCACAATAACCACAGCCTATCGTGTTTGTCAATTCCTGATCCATGTGCAATTTTCACCTAGTGTATTGTTAATATAGCATGTGGCCTAATATGGAAAATTCATATTTCGAAGCTAACAGATAGAGTGTAGAGGCATTAAGGTAGTTAGACGTACAATGTGATAGGGAAAAATAAACCTATCTTGACCTAACAATAGAGGCAACCAAGTATTGACCAGCCGCCAGATCTTTTCAGTGATCAACGATAATATTTTGTTATTAAGGATAACGATTTCCATGGATAAGAATGATGGCAAATCTTATGCAGGATAAGATTTCCATAGGGATGATGACAAATCTTATCAAGGATAAGATTTCCATGGGATAAGTTCCATGAGATAAGGATGATGAAATTCCCTTATCGAGAAGAAGGGAAGCGACGATAAATAGGACGACGACTCGGGAATAAGGTACAATGAAAAAACTATTATTAAATCCCTGCCTTCTTTTTAGACCTCTGGTGACCAACTTGATTGTCGGAAAGCTCTTGGCAGGCACCACACCGGTGTTATCAAGGTTCATCTATCTTCTCCTCTTTCCCTTGCAGGTAAACGGTGTCGTATCGGACCGTGTGAATTTCACCCTCAATAGTTGGCGCCGTCTGTGGGAACGACGATTCCCTTGAATCAATTAATTACTCTGTTGGGTATATATGTTTGCAGTCCGGTATGGTTACCGAAGGAACACCGTCGCAGGGATCTGGTTAAAGGGTATAGTCGGGTGAAAACCTGGACGTCCCAAATGACCAGACACGGCTTGCAGCGTTGGAACTGCAGGTCCAAACTCTGAGTCAGGGTATGGACCAATTGATCCAGCAAAATGCAGCGCTTCTGCAACATCTTGTTTCATCAGTTCAACAAAACTTGCCACGACAAGATCTCTCAAATCCAAACGGAGGTAATGGGAATCTTGAAGAGCAGGATGATCATCCTCCCAAAATGAGATTGAAGTGGAACAAAGCCAGGTGGGAACCCGACATAGAGAGGTGGTCCACCCATCTCTCCCACGGAGTTCCCGACTTCCTGAAAGCACAGCCTTCTATCTTAAGGAAAAGACAAAGAAAGTTACCTATCTCGACCTGCAGATCGAGGATCTCAAGGGGAAAATGGAAGATGTAATGCAGCCTTTGAAGGGAAAGGTCCTGCCGCCGTAGATGACCTGGTATAAAGGACCAACTTGCCGTTCAGCCCCGCCGTTATGAAATGTCCACTACCTAGCAAGTTCAGGATGCCCTCGTTCGAAAGCTTCGATTGGACCAAAGATCCCTTCGATCACCTGGAAACTTTTCAAGCTCTTATGCATTTACACGCTGTGCCAGACGAAATCATGTGCCGAGCTTTTCATACTACACTTAAGGGATCAGCAAGAG